CCCAATTAGTTTGCACCGTAGATATTTACTCGATTGAATACTATATTTGTGGGTGAAATTATCTTAATTATATTATCTAACTATTCACCAGTAGTGGATCCAGGATTTTCTTTGGGGGGGGGGGGGGGTTGAAAAATGTTTTACCTAAGGATATTTTTTATAACATTTTAGTCAGTAATTGATAATGAATTAAGATAATAGTAAATAGTATAATATATTAATTTAAATCAAAGGCTAATAATTTCTCGTATGAATAAAAATATAAATTATGTATTTTCCCTCATACTTTAAAAAAAAAAAAAAAATCTTAATTCATAAAATTATTGACTTTTAATATATATTTATCCTGATTTGGTGAGTTAACCCCTCTGGATCCGCCACTGCTGTTCACAATTAATCAAAGTTTTATCATAATTATAGTTATGTTGCATTTGGCGTATTTAAGATCAGTGTTTTGTAAAAAAAAAAAGAATTTTCAAATCCCATAGGATGTGTACAACACTTTACACTGATACTCGTAGTTTTTTGAGTTCTGAAACTTTAAAACTATTATACTAAATAGTTTAGGAATATTGACTATTATTGTTATCCTCGTAGCCCTTCAAGTACTTTTAGAGTTTACCAACGTGGAAAATGTTTTCAGAGATTTTCAAGTTCATTATACCTCTTAAAACTTCTAATAACTTAACTTCTACTTTGAAATTCACAATGCATCTGTAGAAGACATGAAATGTAGAATTTACAAACACAAAGTCGGGGTTTCGTTTTAAAACCATAAGTTTTTACATATATATTGTATCTCGAAACGAAAAGAACAAACGGAAAAGTTATTATGGAAAGAGTATTTTTAAGGGAAAGTCTTCAACACTGAAAGCACTCGCATTGAATAAAATATGTATTTATACATTTCTGTAAAAATACATTTTCGGTAGTCTACTGTTCATGTGTTACGATAAAGCCGACCGCAATTTCGTGAACGAAAAATTCGATTCGACTAATTAATTACATCGCTGTTTTTCGCGTTTCAGTGCGTAGGTAGTACAAACGTCGACAGAGTGGTGACATTATGAATACAGCAGTTTTTAGTATCGAGATCCTATTATTGCTTATTCTAATATAAATATTACAAGTATTACACGATTTTTTTTTCTTGAACGCGTGTATTTTTTTATTTCATTTTAAACCACTCACGCGTATGTTCGAAAGCTTCGCACGAAAAACAATTAATTGGCCATGGTAAAATAACGAAATTGCACATTGTTCATTTGTATTCAATCGAATACGTCTTTAAGATGGCACACATTATGATGTAGTATCAATAAATCTAATCAACACGTCATTACTTTCGTTTTAAACCTCCGGTAATTAAATCGGATTCGATGTCACATGGCACGGAAAGCTTTCTATCTACCTAATAAACCTTCGCGTGTCGGTTGCGATGTTTATTAATAATATTTATTCGCGTCGATGGAGTTTATTCGCTTCGAGGGGTTTATTTGATTTCCCGCCTCTATACGTGTAATTATTGCACTGCGTTTATGTATAATACACTTAATGCCGTGTATACGTTTTATTTATTAGTCGCTACTTGTTTGAAATTCAGTGACGGATAACGAGACAGGCATTGAATGGGAGGATACGATCCTCGGATGATCAATGCGTTGTTTTCGTTCGGAGCTGCCGTTCGGATTTGATCACGTAGGTGCATGTTTTCAAAAAAAATGTCTGAGTAAAATATCGCAGCCACGGTCGTGACCCCGTCGTTTTGTTTTCCGTATTCGACCCATCGTTGTTATTTTATGCGAGTCGAACTCGTACGTAAGATAACGAGAATTTCATTTGGAAAAATTACACAATCAGTACATAATTAATTGTGTTCTTATCAATTAAATTCATAATTCATTTTGATGTATTGGTAACATTTTAAACGAACATTTTCTAGTTTATAAAAAAAAAAAATATATATTTTACGATTTAACTGTCATCGTTTCATTATTGCTCGAAGCGAAATTCAATTTTGTTAATTTGATATATTTTAACAGTTGTATTCTATTTTTGTTCGGAACAAAAACTATATGTATATTTTAACATTGCAACATTCGGTACAGTTTTATCGCACGTACTTGAATTCCATGTCCATTGACATGATTGTGTATTATGCTTTTCTATTTTAATTCTCAGGTTTATAAAACGATTTAACCAATAAAACGCTTTGTTACAATTAAACACCGAATTCAAAATCACGTTTAAATAGCACTATTTTGCACACGTGGTGTTTTAGAATAATCAAACAATTTTTTTTCCCATCACTCAAATAATTTATTTATATGAAATATTCAAACAATGCCGATTTTGAAGTTTTAAAAATATTTTTTTCTCCTCACAGTAATTTGTTCAATATAGCTATTCTACATTTTTTATTGTTCCTCCTTTATCACCAACGGTTTACATAATATTTTTGAAGTTATGAATTTATATTTCGTTGTTTTTTTTCTAAACTTTTATTATTTATGAGTCGTATTCAATGCGAATACACTTGTATTTCGCTCGAGTATATTTGTATTCAATTATTTTGGTTTACATAGCTTTTAATGGATTCTTTTTGTCCATAAAACCACTTAATGTTTATCGTGAAAACCCCTTTCATCCATCGCATTGTCCAATAAGACTACAAGCACAATTCCTATTTAACAATGTTCCATAATTGTTTGAAGATAATGTTTCATTGTTTTCATTCATCCGCATGATAATCTTGACACCTTTCATAACGTAAACGATAATATTTAACAATGATTCTGTAATTGCTTAAAAAAATAAATAGTTATTAGCTTAGCTTCAAAACGATTTCCTGAGATCACCATCGCGCGTCCGTCATTGACTTTATAGTTAATCTAGTGATCACCCGACAGTGTAACCTACTGAATACGCGCAGTGAAATATTTTTACAACACAAATATATCATAATATTACGTTCAGTAATTGGTTTTCGTTTATAACCAACCATTTGTCTTCGGTTAAAACAAATATTATTTTATACGCGCCATATTCCCGCCCCGGTAATATAGTTAAGCGATATACATCGTTTTTAACATTGTCAACGTAACTGTTTTATGTTTATAAGATAAAATTACATATTTAGTTACTTACTCATTTAAACGTATCTGATATGTTCAACATTGTGTATGTTACGTAGACCGTATGAAGTAAGCTATATTTGAATATATAATTATTGTGAAATGTACGTTTTTTTCCTGTTTTTTTTTTTTATCGTCCGTCGTTCAACGGTGTAAACATAATATCACGACGATTTAATATACATATTGTATCACGTAAAACTAGAATATTTATCGCAGCGCATACCGCGCAACCAACACTATACCATTTTAATGCGCTTGATTAAAATAATAGTGACCCTCCCATAATTTATTCGCATACGTCCTGCGACTAGAAAGACAAATTTAATTAAATATAATATTCATACACGTGGGCACGATACGATCTAGACGCCAAGTGCAATGGATAATACTTCGCGATAAATATTGTACACGCATATGCTTATACTAGATCGTGTATCGAGACATTTTCGTTTAATTGAAGTAATTAAAAAAAACTGTCGGTTTTTCATCGAAAGACGTGAAAACTTTTAATTTTTACGTAAACGAGCAGTTTTGACATCGTTCTTGGCGAGTGATTGATTATATTACAATGTAGATACAATTATGATTCTACGTTTTAAACGCACGATTATCATCGGAAGCATCCTGTATCACACAACGATTAATGTTGATTACTTTTTGTTGACCAATAATAATTATTACTGGTCGAAAACAATTTTCTTACTTGCTATCATGTGCGTACCACGACATCGGATGTCATATTGTAAGTGTAAAGCATCTACACTACATCATTCACACACCCACCCACATTCATACGTACCATCATGATGTAGTAGTAATTGAATTTAGAGATTTGAATTTTTTTTGAATTTAGATATTTTTTTATTATTTGGAAAATGCAAAACAAATGTAGTATTAACTAAATAATAAAAATTACGTACGTCCTTAAGCTGAGCTTGTGGTGGTGCAGAGAGTTGCAGTACACGCTATTGATTTAAATTGAATACATAACAAAAAAAACAAATAATAAATAATAATAAAGTAGTAATATTTGTCCATATCGAGTCGTTTTGGTACGATGATAACTAATTTTTAATATTATTATTGTTGTTTATAGTCTAATGATTTTGGTCAAAAGTAATCGTTAATAGTATGCGGGCTACAGAGTTCTCGTCTGAAAAAGTATATTAGACCGGACAGAATTTTAGGTTTGTTTAATAATAGTTGTAAAAGGAGCACTCGAGTACACCTCACCGTATTTCGCGAACAGGAATCTTCCCTTTTCAATATTGATCTTTTTGTATGAAAGTTTTCCCAAATTAAAATGAAAATCCGTTGAACCTTTAAGGAATGATAAACCGCAAACTTTAAAAAGTGAAAACATCGGACAACGATATTATTAAATTCAAGTTTGTTTGATGTGTTGGCAATGTCACATCATAATATAATATGTACATAGGTCTTTAAGTTTTCCAATTTTCTTGCGTCTAATAAAATATTTGAAAATTCGTAGGTCTAAAAAAGCAATATTATATAAAATAAAAATTTTTAATTATATATGCAAATATATATATATATATATATATGTATATATATATATAAACATATATTGTAATAATAATGTTATTTCACGAGTAATCAAATATGTATTTTGACATTTTTTTTTAATAATTCGGTTTGAAATGCGTAAATGTGCTCAATTTCGCAAAACAAGATACATACGTGAATGTGTTCGCCTAATACGATGACCAATATAACTCAATATTGGAGTTACGATTTTAACAAAAATGTACTCGAATCCTCCTATTTCCATATATAAACGTTACGTTGATTAATTGCATATAACACTGTTATTCGAAAATATTAACACAGACAAATCGATAGGCATAGGTGTTTTATGGTCTTGGAGAGAGGAATGTTTGAAGAATGGCTCAAAAGATGTCGCGAATCTCGCCAGCTAGTCGTGGTGATCGTAGCCATAGCTCTACTCCTGGATAACATGCTTCTCACGACAGTGGGTAAGTACAATATTAAGACACGTAACTTAAACGGCTTTTTCTTCTTTTTTTTTTTTATCCAATTATTTTCATGGAAACCTCTTGGGTCCTTTAATCTTTTATCGTACAATCACATCTAATATGTACGTGTATTTTAACAAGCCGCTCCTGACTTTTTAAGACGTACACACACACATATTATGTAGAAATATGCGTGTGTTATAATCCACGAGAGGTTTTTATTATATTATTTTTTTAGATTTTAAACACAGAATAAAGTACAAATTTATGGTTTTTAAATTTTATATATTTATAAACCTGGTTATTTCATAAAATATCCTTGCATATAAATCAATAGTACAACGGACAGATGCGAATTTTCTTTAAACTTTTTTGCGCATATAAAACAATATTGATAATATGTAAAGAATTTTCATTTGAAAATCTAAAACATAAAGTATGGTTCAAATAATATTCTACAATTTATTATTATTATACCTCTAAGACTATCATAGCAATAATTGTAATCACATGTCGCAGTACTTTATGCTTTAAAATGTTATAGCGATAAAAAATAATAGTAAATACGAGTACGTATGTATTTAATGCGTTTATTTTTATCGTTAAAATGGATGCTAAACATAATTATTTTTCAATTCATACAGAAACTGTTGACTATTATGTTTAACCATTATGAGTAGATATCTTACATTTTGAACTTGAATAGTACATTCAGAGTCGGCCTGGATACCAGATAACCTAGCTAGACATTTTTACCTAGAACCCAGTGACCCTTTGAAAAACAAATAAAACAAAGATAATCCTGAATATTTCGTATTAAGAGAACGTGATACTCAAAAGTGTGTCCCGAGTGTATAACGCTCCACATATTTACGGCGACAGGGATTACAGTACGAGCGTCTGCGTGCGAGTGCGTATTGTATCCACGGATCTATAATAATAATTTATTTACGAGTTTTTAACTGAAAAATCATATTTTCCACATTAAAATCGTTCTGTATAATGTCATAGCATGGTTTTTATTAAAGAAAAATGGAATATTATCCATAATATAGAGTTTTTAATTTATCGAACACTTTTTTAAAATTTTCCTTTTTTTTTTATAACTCAATAAATAATTTAAAATTGTACAAATGTTAAAATATGAATACATTTTAATCTATTTTTGATATCGAAAAAATAAAAACGCTAAATCATAGATAATTTTCTAATTCTTTTTAACTATTGATTTGCATTGAATTAACACTGAATGGTTTTGCCACTCGTAAAATGAATTATTTTTAAGCTTAATTTATTGGTGTATCACGTCCTCTTAAATTCGACTGTAATTACTGTTCATTAAGTGTAATTTTTATTAAAATATTATAATTTATCAACATATATATTGTACGTTAAGTTGCTACTAAATCCAACGGTGAATTATTTTAGTTCCAATAATACCGGAATTTCTTTACGACATCCAACACCCTGATCAACCACTCACAGCAACCATACCGACAAGTCCACGCAATGAATTCCCAGTGCCCCACGGAGATATGTCGAGTCCTCCAGGTATGTATACATATTTTTGAACTAGTTTTCCGCAATAAATAATAACTTATCGTAAAGTATTCGTAAATTAATAAATAATAATAATATGTAAATATAACTACAAAATAATTTAATAACTCATAGCTTTATAGATATTAGAATAATATAAATTACTATATTCAAATAATTTAAAGAGTTATACGTCTTATACATGTAAATGCTTATAATACTATTGTTTGTACATTTCCGGGAATCGCTAACGCTTATCGTATCATACGCATATAGTTTATATAATTTTTTAAATTAAAAAAAAAAAATATTAATTAATTGATTAGTTGTACAGGAAATTTCCATTTTTAAAATGTTTTAAAATAAATTAAAAATATCGCGTATAATGATTTCGAACCACAGTATAATTAGATTGCCATGGACACTAAATGTATTTGCTGAAGGCCGACATCGTATTACCTTAATTTACATATTATTGATCGTACGTAGTGGAATTTTTCAAATTCCTAAATATCACGCCGTGTAAAGGACATCGGGAAAAAGTCACGTACAACTTTGTGAGAAGGATAGTAAAATTTACGATATCGTATTTTAAAGCGGTATCCTCCAAAATGTGCGCAATAATATCGGGATAAGCAGCAGTATACCGCGTGTAGGACCCTTCGAACGTAGATCACCATCGATGCGTAATGTGAATCTTCTTCGGTTCGTGTTCTTGTTCTTCGATTTTTTTTCATTAAGTGACTTGAGAAACCGAATGGGCATTGCCGTGCACAACGGGTGTGCAGTAAAAACGATCCATGCACTATATTTAAATAATAATTGATACCGTCAATCGTGTACACACATTGGCGCTTTCCACGGCCACACAAACACAATACCGCACACGCACGGTACCGCACGGATTTAACGCATTTTTTACAACACCCGATCCGTTCATCGTTGCATTAATTATCGTATTGGTGATCATTAATGTTAATGCGCAAGCTAAGACCGTTTTTTCGTCGTCGGTGATACTGTATTGTGACAGTGTTTTTTTTTTCGCTCTCGCCGCCAATCAGTATCACTCGAGATTTCGCTATTTTTTCTACGGTTTTCAAAATCAATTCAACTACTTTCATGATTGTTTGTAAAAATTATTAAACGCGTGAAAGTCGAAACGTAACTAACAACGACTTTGTGCATAGGGGATACAATCATCCATAAAAAAAAAAAATATATATACAAATGGTTTCGTTAAATACAAATGTTGTTTATACCTAGGCTCGACTGTACATCGTTTAAATACATATTCCTGATATATACCGGAAACATATGTACGGTAATAGGCGTTGTCAGGTATTTTAAATTCATTGTGCGTTATCGTCCCGCACGTTTTTCACGCATTTTTACGCTGATGGGCAACGCACATTAGACACCGTACCGTCGATTGTTTATCCTCGATTAAGGATAAAATCTTTGATAAACTTATCGATGCGAAAACTTATCTGTACAGCGCGTTTCGCATGTCGGTCATGCTAACACGTTTTATCTTGCGTCTTTGCGAAAATTCGTATACTCGACGCACCACGCTTCGTTGTTTTGGACAACCAAACCGATCCGAACTCGGCGTTATCTACTGCGCACATTTATTTGTATTTATTTTTTTCGGTCACGGTTGAGCATCGGATATCCTAGGACCAGTGCCGTAGCAACCAAACATTGCGCCCGGAGCAAAACTTCATAATGCGCCCTTATTAATTTTTAATTTAAAAATATTACGCTTATTAGATATTATTTTCAATGATTGCTTTAATTAATATGAAGGATGTTAAAGATTTCGTAAACAATATATACGTTATTGACCGTTGTAATTTTTAACATTAAATGCAAGATTTTCATTTTTGCGCTCTCCCGGGAATTGCTCTCGGGGTACTACGGGCACCTCTCACCACCCCCTTGCTACGGCTCTGCCTCGGACTGAATGGATGGTTCGAGAAACCAAATGCGAAGAGTTCCGTTCGAATCAAACCATCCACGGCCAACCTTCACGCGGTTGAACGGGGACGAGCGCTACGACGCGTGAGCTCTGACACGATTTTGCAACCGCGTACGCGTTACCGTCGTTGTGCACCAAATCCGTACAATCGAACGTTCGACCGTTGCACGAACGTGTGTTTACCGTGTTTCGGCGGTCGATTGCAGGACGCGTTGGGCGATTAAACACGTTAAAATTGCGATCGCACTACGAAGGCGTTAAAAAATAAACGGAACGATAACACTCCGACGACGAGGCAAGGGCGTATTTAGACTTACTTCTAGGGGGGGGGGAAGGTCGACTAAAATGTTTTCTTTATTTCAGGCTCAAAATTTACAAGTCAAATTTTTGGTAATATTTAAATTAGGTGAATCTTAATGTTTGTGATTTTTTTTTTTTTTTATCTTATGCCGGATCCACTTAGAATCGATTTTTGTGTAGTTCTTTTTTAACACCTGTCTGTGTTTTATTTGATTTTTCAATAAGTATGAACCCGACAAATAGTCCAATCCAGTAATCACAGACACGCTTAATTTGATTTCGTTATAAAATTATCCACATTAAAAAGATTTGTAATGTGTATTTCAAATATAATCGATTCCTTAAATATGGATTCAGGGGGAGGGTGATTGTCTCTTCGCCCCCTTTAAATTCGCCCCCGGGTCTAGACCGGTCTAGGATATAGCCCGCAGTACGCGTGTAAGCACGTGTTAGTCGCAATTAAAAGCCGTTGCATTTTGCAAAATCGATTAGGAAACGGAACGACGACCTGGGAACAGCAAGAAGCGATTCTCAAAAAGGAAAGGCACGACGATCTGGTTCACGAAACAGTCGCGGTCGGAATGATGTTCGCGTCCAAAGCAGTCGTACAGCTCATGGTCAACCCCATCGTCGGACCTCTCACGCACCGGATCGGCTACAGCATACCAATGTTCACCGGATTCTTCATTATGTTCATATCCACAATAAGTAACGAACGATTTCTCTCAATGTTTATTTATTTGTTTGTTTCACGTTTTATTCTTAACGCCGTACGTTTACTGTTTTTTTTTTTTTTTTTTTTTTTTTTTTATAATGTACAGTATTCGCATTCGGACGGAGTTACGGAGTACTGTTTTTGGCTAGAGCTCTGCAAGGGATTGGATCGTCTTGTTCAACAGTTTCTGGTAAAACGGTTGTTGGACACGGAAAAACGGAAAAGACCGCGCCCGTTTTTCCGAAACGGGCTCACACGTAACATGCGGAGCTCGGGAGTTTATGAAATTGCATAGTTTTTTTTTCTACCGGTCCCCGGTTCAATGTCTAACCATAAATTCGATTTATACTTGATGGCGGATCAAACGACACATTTTTTACTGAACATTGCATAAAACACGTATTCTATGTAATATGTGCGTGCATTGTAAAATTATAAATTTAGGTGCATACCATTTTAGACAGTTCTTTGTCAACTTGAACATTTTTTTTTTCGTTTTTACTCAAATGGTATCTTTTTAAATATATTTCTTTTTTATTTGGCACAAGAAACTCAGTTTTATTTTTAAACCATACATTTTATATTTTTCTCGTAATCTCTTAAATAACCTTAGATAATCCATTACATTTTTTCGGTTTAGCAGAAAATATGTAATTGTTAATTAATTAAATATGTTGTTAAATTTAATTTTTTATAAAAGTATTTATTTTAATGTGTGAAGGTAAATATACAATTTTCGTGCTTTTTTTTTTTAGTTCAAGTCCACATTCTAAGATTATATTTTTAATATTTTTGATGCATAAATATCCAAAAAAATTTTAAATGCATAAACGTCCGAGCTCTAAATACTTACGTTGAATCCTTTTCATAATTAAAAATGTTAAACTTGTTCTCTTAATGCTCGTGTAGGAATGGGAATGTTGGCCGAACGGTACCCTGACGACAAAGAACGAGGAAATGCCATGGGTATAGCGTTGGGCGGCTTAGCTTTGGGTGTGTTGATCGGTCCACCGTTTGGCGGAATCATGTACGAGTTTGTGGGGAAAACCGCACCGTTCTTGATACTCTCGGCGCTGGCACTAGGAGACGGACGTACGGACATTAATCGAATAATACTATAAGTTTAGAAAAAAATAAAATAGAAATAAAATTAAAATCATGTCTAAGGGTGATGATTCGCGGTTTACGATCTTAAACTGTAAAGTTATAGTACCCGAGTAAGTAATCAAGGCAAGTTATACACTTTGCATACGTTTGACCGTACATAACATTTAAATCACAGTTGGATTGAGCGTTGTACAGGATCGTTGGTGACAGTACGTGTTACATATAATTATAATAAACTTAGGGTTGCCGTAATTAAAGAAAGCTCAGAATCTCGAGGCTTTTAGAAAATAGTTTTTTCATTTTTCTTTTTTTTTTTCGCTCACGCGGAGCACGAAAGATAAGGAGTGTGTGATTATCACTGCGGTGCAGATTTCCAAATAATGTTCATTAGAGACTACCCGTTTTCGCCGGTCGCCGCGTTTTCACGACAAAAGCCGTGAAAATCGGTATTTTCTGTATCGTAAATTCGAACGATCCGTGACGTTCGTGTCGTCCCGAGACGTCTCTCGGAGCCACGAGTAGAGCTGTAACAACCAAATTTTGCGCCCGGGGTGAAACTTTAAAATTCGTCCTTAAGTATTTTAATTGATAAAAAAACTCACAAGAACACTGAATATTTTTTTAAACGCAATAAAAATAATGATTTTTTTTTATAATTGTGTAAGCGTTTGTTAATTTTATTTAAATCGATAACTTATTAAAATATAAATATACATTATAATTATAAGTAGATACAACATAGGTAAAACATAATTATATTTATAAGTTATACAAGTAAATACATAAATACATAATATTAATTTTACTTATAAGTAATGAGTTATAACTTATAACAATTAGATTGCAATTTTTTCATTTTCACGCCCTCCCAGGAATTACGTCCGGGGCGTAGGCACTTCTAGCCCCCCTCCTGTTACGGCCCTGGCCATGAGTCACGAAACCGCTGGTGCGCCGGCGATCCCGGGACGCGTAACAACCCTAAACCGTGTGTTAAAACGACCGGACGAGTACGATACGATTCGCACTCATTGCCGGTTAATCGATTCGACATCATTTTACCGTAAATCGGTATCGGCGACCATATACGGTCGACTGCGGTGCGAGTATGCGACCTACCCGAAAAAGTTTGTCCACTATTCCTGTCGGGCACGTGAGTCGTACGCAGTGTCACCGGATCCTGCATCGAGATCCAAGGCCCAACATCTTTCGGTCCAACTCGAGCCGGTATTGGGCTGCCAAACCGTTTGAAAGCTTCGTTACAAAATTATCGATTAACGTCAACGGATTAAAACCGTTTTTTTTCTTTCTCGATGTTTAGATATTGCGGCCTTTATTTTTTTTTATATTTTTAGGACTTCGTCGCCTGCAGTGATATTCAGTTGTTTCGATTTTTCCAACGATTTTACACCGCGCGGGAATTCGATGATAAAAATTGTAAACGGGCCCCGCTCGCAGAACCGTCGCAAGATTATAACGAGATACATCGGGACAATCGTGGCGGTCTAAACCTTTCGCCCATCGAACTTTATACGGTCGTCGCCCACCGTCGTCGTCCTGTTCATTATTTGTACATTTCCGAACGGAACCGGAGTCGTTGTCGTGGCCTACGTGTGTACGTATATACTCGTAATCAAATCACCGATACGTCGTCCACGCCAAGAGCAGACTTTTGTGTTGTTTATTGTGTTGATTGCTGCCATTTTCATTTTAATTGCATTCAATGGTAAACATGTGTATATATATATATAGATCCACTTATTTCCGTACTCCGTATAGAATTTCATCAACGCGATGGTGAATTTTTTTACGCAATAAAGTTAAGCCATGCGTGCGAGTGCTCGTCTTGTACACGTACATACATATTGTTGGGCGACGAAACGAGTGAATCACGTATATTATTGACCCTTATTTTTTTTTTTTTTTTTTTCGAAACGGATAGGTCTATTGTTTGTACGGTAGGTTGCGTACCGAACCGCTCGGCCGGACTTAATTAATATCATACGTACGCGTAGTAGTTTACGTGCACATACACTTTTGGGTCAATAATTGATCCATATTGTATTACTTTTATGCCAAAGCCATTGAAAAGCATAATAATTATACACTAACGAATACGGTACGATAAAGTATTTTTGTCACTGGTTAATAAAGTTAATTAATTCACTCTCTATTTTTAGCAAAAAAAAAAAAAAAAAATGAATGAAAAAAATACGAAGTTAGAGATATTGTAAAATAATTTCTCATTTATTATATTTATATGAAAAAAATAAAAACTGTTATTTTTTCGAGAATTTAATCAACGGAGAAGAGCGATAATTTAAATATAATTACCGATATTACGGGGTTGTAATTGAAAACATTATTAGTTTATCCATCGTGAATATTTTTAATTAAAATTTTCAACCGTAAATTGTAAAATTAACAAGACTTATATAGATATGTATTGTCTTAATATCCAATTTAATACCAATTATATATTGTATAATCAGCTGGTTTCGTTTACTTGATTTTGAGAAGTATTACATTTTTTATTTCAGATAAAAAATAACTTAACTCACATTAAATGTATTTATACAATTAATTCTTCTTAAAAATATATTGTGGGTTAGGTTACGTTCTAAAAATATACACATACTTCATTAAATTTTAAATATGATAACGGTGTAAATTCTTTATTTTTTACTTATACACGTTTTACTTACAAATATAAAAAAAAATCAATATATATCATTAAAATAAAAAAATCTATATTTTCACTGATTTGCTTTCAATTTTAGAACAGTTATTCATTTATTAAAAATCTATAACTGCATGTATGTCTACTGCATCTAGTTAGTTAATTATTTTGCAAGCTAAATATATATATATATATATGTATATATACATAAAAGGTAATTGTTTTTGTCATAAACTATAGAACTTATAAATGTGTTTCACGATTTGTGTGTATAAAAGTATAATTTGATAAAGCACTTTTACAATATGAATATTTATTATTAATACACTATCTGTAGTCAATACTTAAAATTGAAATCACCATTTGCATTAAACTGCATATCATTTATCGATCTAGAAGTGAGCCAATGTTTCTAAGCAATTGATTTCACTCGACGTTAAATAAAAATATTTAAATATTATCAAGTATAATATATTTTTAATTAAATATTTTCCGACGTTAAATTTATATTTACATTTTATAACTTTTTGTAATCGTCTATAATACGTTGATAAAACTATTGCTTAGAAAGACTATATTTATTATTATTACTATTATTATTATTATTATTAATATTAGATTTAGAATTTTAGTAAATATTATGCACTCATACACACATGTATAATACATTATAATAATGATAAAATGCATTAATAAATTAGGAAATACACCTAATGACATAATGATACTGTCTTCAATGGTCTTGTACAATACTGGTTTGTATTCAATACTTGCACAATATTTATTTGATTAATAATGTTTGTATTTTTTATTTTTAAATTTCGTTTAAACATTGTATTTTTCTTAAACAAAAGTTTTGAAACAATAATATATTATATGATCATGACTAATCTAATTAGCAATGGCTACTAAAACTTCACTTACCAAAAGTTCATAATCAAATAGTACATGTTGTTTCGATAACTTTGACATTGTATTTTAACATTATACGGTTGTCGAATGCCATAGTTAATACTAAATCAAATTCTTAATTAAATTAAGTATGGTTTATTATCCCATACAGTGCTACAACTGTTGCTTTTACAACCCGGAGTAGTCACAACAGATGCGGATCCGCCTTCCTTGAAATCATTGGTTATGGACCCGTACATCATAATAGCCGCCGGTAACATTACGAATATTAATTCCAAAATAGTTCGACGGAAATACAGACAATCGCTCAACAATACGACCTGTTAATTTATACTTACAGGTGCGATATCTTTCGCAAACACCGGAATCGCAATGCTCGAGCCGTCGCTGCCCATTTGGATGATGGACACCATGGGCGCTGGAAGATGGAAACAGGGAGTGACATTTTTACCAGCAAGTATTTCATATTTAATCGGAACGAATTTGTTTGGACCTCTCGGACATCGCATGGGAAGGTATACATACATACATTTACATATATATTTAATAATAATGACGTTTTATTACAACGCCAACAATTATACAGTGCAGACAATTTAAATTAGAAAATAATCAATCGCAATTGCAATGAAATGCTTAACACGGATGTTCAATGAATTAAAATATTATGTATAATATGGTACTTTTAACGATGAAAATACACTACTCGATAATCGTACGTGTAATAAAATTAAATAAATATTATTAAAATGGAAAAGAAAATAAAACTTAAATTATATGTAAAACATTTAATGCACAGTATTTATACTCATTAAAGTTAACAAAAGAAAATGCATTTATGCATGTCATGTTTACGAAATAAAAGAATTCCTTCTTCCGTAATTGGTTTTTAATTTCCCGAAATTAGTATTATTAAACGAAACTTTTAAATCATTATTATTTTTATTCAATTTCGTATCATAATATTGCACTGGTTGATAATCTTTAATATTAAATTAAATTTTACAAAATGTGTATAATAAAATTTGGCATTCATATAAAAAATTTAAATTTTCAACACAAAAATCATCATACATTTAATTTCTAGGATAAAATCTAAGTGTACTCAATATATCGTAATATAGTATTTTTATCTACATCATAAAACGACTCGATCGCAAGAGATCGATTCGCTATTATCTGCACCGCGTCACAATGTTAAACGAATGTATGTGATTTACAGATGGTTGGCCGCAATGATTGGATTGATCGTGATCGGAATTTGTTTGATGATAGTAAGATTTTTTTTGTTTAAGACCGTAGAATATAGATTTCGCGAGACCGTATATATTGTAATCAAATAATGTGTGCGTTTTTTTCCATTCGCCCTTTCCCCTTTTTACAGATACCCACCGCAAGAAACATCAACCACTTGATTGTGCCCAACGCCGGTTTAGGTTTTGCTATTGGCATGGTCGATTCGTCGATGATGCCCGAGCTTGGCTATTTGGTTGACATACGACACACAGCTGTTTATGGCAGCGTATACGCTATTGGTGACGTGGCTTTTTGTCTGGGATATACGATCGGTACGTACGTGAGTTATGATTATAATTTATGCGCACATTTCTTTCGGTGCAGAATTTCTATTTTGAAGCGCTCGCACTCGTTAACATACACATTAGTTATTCGTTGAATGTTGGCATACGAAAAAAAAATCATATAATTAGAATTATTTCACAATTAATAATCAATAAGACATACAAATGGACAATTAATAGGTTTAGATTGTTCATTTTATTATTGTGTATTGGGACAATTTTTTTTCTTTTAAACAATAACTTCTCTCGTACCTACATTTATTGTATTTTTCGGCACTTCAATCGGAACAATTATCTTTTCTTTCTTTTTTTTTTTTTTGTTAAAAATGACATGAACTTTTCACAAGAAATGTTTTTCATATTTTCCGTTTTTCTGATTGATAATGTTAGATTTTATTCAAATCAAAACTTAAAATAACACTTTTAAACACCGTGAAAAGACACTGTTGTTCTATGTTTTGTATACGCATCAATACTAACGAAGATATAGGTACTTGGCAATTTTACGATTAAAAAATCGTATTGTTAAATATCAAGATTGTTACCTAGAGTGATAGCAGTAATAATAGCCGAGCATGTCTCATAAAAATCTTAAATCTTAATATTATCGAAAATATCTTATAACATACATCGCACTTCAAGCGTGGTCAACATTTATCAAACACTAGTTGTAAATGTTCACAATCACCGGTGTATGATCGCATAAGGGCTATTTTGACAACATTCTCTACGGTTTTTGGTGTATGTTGACATGCACCGGTGAGTATCCACATTCACCGACTGCGGTCATACACCTCAACATATACACGTACTAAGTATCCGCATTCTTTATGAGAGTTTGAAATTTTTCAATCGCAAAACTTAATAATAATGTAACAGACAAATTATAAGACAATGTCAAATTTGATTTTTTTCCAAATGCTTAGAGAGTAGTTATTATTTTAGTTTAAATCTGTATATTTTTAAATCATAAAGTTTTTAATTTTAAACCAATTTTATGGTTTTTGTTGGAATTTCGATTCTGTGATACATAATGTCAGTGCTATATGTATTTAAATATTATTTATGTAAATATTAACTGTCCTGTTTTTTTTTCTGTATTGAAAATAGGAAAACAAATTTTGTTTTGAATGATATCCTTAATGGCTATTTCAAAGCTCTTAAATATTTACTTGTATTTAAGCTCAAGGTATATTGAAAGTAGATAAATTGATAGTTAAAAACGTAATCCATTTAATATTAGCGAACCCGATGTTTACCTAGTTTCTAACGTTACCTATTTTCAAAAATACGTTTTATATCTATTCATAAGTTGATTTCATTTTTAATAATTCATTTTTTTTTTCTTAATTTTTGAGACTTTTTTTTTACATTATTACTTAATTGATTATTTGATTAGAAAAAAATCATCAATAGGTATTTATTTAGTTTTTTTTTATATTGGTTGACTTGTACGTCTACAATTTTGTACATTTATGTTCCTAGAATTTCTCGATATTGACATAAAACAATCTCATTGCTTGCCTACTTTTAAAGAGTCAAACCTTTTTTAATATAATACTTTTTAAATTTAATTTTCAACAGTCTTTGTCACTAAAATGATGTGTTTATATTGATATTTATTTCTTTCTTCGTCTTCACCATGCAAATGAAATCGACCATTTATGCGATATCTTTCAATATCTATGTGTTAACAAAAAAAATAAATAAATACCATCATGATCAGCTGTGTATATTATTATGTCTTTACACGATTTATTAATGTGGAAACTTTACGACAGAAAATTGAGAATTCAATCTATTTTCACCAGGGCCGGCTTTAAGCGGAACATTAGTGAATACAATTGGATTTGAATGGATGTTATTCGGAACGGCTATGTTGAATTTCTTGTACGCTCCACTTCTCTACTTACTGCGCAGTCCACCGACAAAAGAAGAAAAAAAAATAAAATCTCCTGAATTTAAAGTTGGTTAAATATACAATATGTTTTTTTTTTGTAAAAAAAAAAAAGAATATAATATATCGACAATCATCGGTTTCCAATCAATAATAATATATAATGTATATGTATTATATTATTTCGTTGTGATAAATATCATTTTACTGTTTAGTATTTATATTTTAATTAAAGTCTCCATAGATTATAATAATTTCGTAAATTTGCGATTTATACAGATTGCTTTTGCAATTAATTAGTATAAGATATTTAAGATAATAGCAATGAGTGAAAATTGTACTCGAAGCTTATGAATACATCCAATGTCAAAGTATAAAACCAATAACTTATATATCTACACAAAAATAAGAGTAAAATATATATATTTATACACACACTTTAAGGCGATAATTTTCAGTAAATAATTTTAATCGTAGTTTCATGAGTGGATTTCAGTTAATAAACTCAAAACTTTAGTTGATTATAAGTCGATCAAATGACAAACCTCCCGTTCTCGTATTAAATTAATTATATTTATATTTATTTATTTGCATTTTAAGGTTGTTTATTTTTTTTTTTTTTTGTAATACATTTATAACAGAGTATAAATATGGTCACGTCACATAGGTAACTATTTTATGTACTTATATTGGCAAAAAAAATCAATAAAATTATTGGTTTATTGATTAATTTTTTCAAAAACTTTTGTGAATACTGTAAAAATACAAAACAATAACCATTTAATTTTAATGGTTAGGTAAGTCAAACAAAAATCTATTAAAGCTTTACTAAAAATCTAAATTTATAGAGCTTATACTAAACCATTCTAATGTAGTATACATTTGGGCAGTTTTGATTAACAATATCTTCAAAAAATCATTATTTGCTTATTGGTTTCATTTTTCATTAACGCTATAGAAACTAAAATTAAGTATACCATTGTTTAGAATAACAAAACCACATAACCCTACATCATTATTTATACGCACATCTCTAAAATGATTTAACGCAAACGCATTTTGTAATAGAAAAAAATGAATTAAAGAAATTTAGAAAAAATTATTGATAAAATTGGATACATTGCAATTATTTATATTGGAACCTTAAAATGTAAATATTTGATACCATTTTGGTACAATAAAAAGGGTTTAAATTTATTGAATATTATTAAACGTAGTCTACAGATAAAGGCAAATCTTAACTAATATGATACAAAAATGTTTAGTGTTTAGACGGGATAATTTTAGAACTGTGACGATAATTTTCAATTTTTATTGAATAACAAACTGTCTTACAAAATAACAATTATTATTATAAATATTGGCATAGGATAAGTACAATATCTTTATTTTCTGAGTCTCAAACTTTCAACTTTTTTTATAATTCCTAATCCAATACTTAATACCTTGTACATAATTGTTGATATTATAAGTGATGTTTTTTGGATTTTGTTATTAATCGATCGTATTTTACGGTATAAAATACTAACATTGTTAACATTACTAATAATATTATACATTGCATTATTCATTAACACTTGTTGTTGTACATGTTTTCAGTCACTGGTGACCGGAGAAAAATCGTCGGTGCGTTACATAACCTATCAAAACGAAGCAGAAGAAGAATAAAAACTGTTGACTTCGTACAACTAACGCTTGATAAATTACGCTTCTCCGTTTTTGTTTTTTTGCCTCCCCAAACAACGATACTTCTTAATAAATAATAATAACAAACACGACGTCATAGCAGAAAACATTACAATGTAATACAACGCGCGCAGTTGCACAACAACTCAATAATACGAGAAAAACTGTTTTGACGGGAGTTTCAGCTATTTCGGTGGCCGGACACAATATTTTAATCGCATTGTTTACCTATTACATATAGGCGCATACGTAGCAGTCGCTTTATATAACATAACAATGTATAATATACATTACAACCTATTATATCTTATACTTTCTCGTAAACCTAACCTAATAGTCCGCCGGCGCAACGAGAAACTTTATTCGATATTGTTACGCGTACAAAATAACTAGCCTATATTATGTTTATAATAATGTGCACGCGTGTTAAAAATACTTTGAGAAAAATCTAATTACTCGTAAACCTAATAATAATAATAATGTTATAAAAAATAACTATTTATCGTATATTATAATATTATAATGTGTGCGCAATAAGTGATACATTTACATATATACATTATTATATGTCCTATCGACTTTGTAACTTACATACAACGTGGTTTTTAAAAACATTACTATATAAATAATATTTTCTTAATAATATATATTATACTTAAAACGATACAATTGAATAGCGTATATTATTATGTATACGTATTTTACGGCTCATCATTGACCACCATCGTTGAGCATCAGAACATTTTGTTGATTAAGACTGTTTTATAATTATAATAATATTAATAATAATAATAATAATAATATAATAATATTGATTTATAATAATATTAAATAAATATATTAATCGTGTTTTCTTTATACATTATAACATATTCTATATAAAATAAAGTGTCAGACCAAATTTAACGATGTGGTATTTTTTTTATTTTTATCCATCATAAATATCATATCGTCGCTGGAACGCGACCTCGGTGTAAAACGAGAAAAACGAACTTCCCTCGGCCGTTTTAGACGGACGAATGCCAAGGATCACCGGAACCGATGGAAACGGTCGTAATTCGGGGAGGGGGGGGAGGTGCGATTTTTGCATTTCGATCGATTCCCCTGCCCTGGGTTTACGGAACTAAGGACGCACGAACTCCGGGAATACGTTTTTCGGTGACCGCCGTTGTCTGTGAGAACGATACCGCCGGCTGCAAGTGACGCGTGTCAAACGTTATCGTGCAATAAACATCGGTCGGAAAATCGACGCGGGCGAGATACGCCGTCCCTTTGTAACGGCTTCCTGGCGGCCATCGTTTCCGGGCGCACCGGCTCCGCACCGCGAGCGTATCGTTCATCGCGCCCGTTCTTAGTGGTGCCGGTCGGATCGATTTCCCGAAAACTCGAGAGCCGTAGACGATGATTTTTAATCATGTTACTCGCAACGCGCATACTTTCAATCGTTCTCCGCTCGAAACCCGGACGGACAGCGGTCGGAACGTACTGTGACCGGTGCCGGATTTATGAGGAAGGAGGAGGTAGATAAGCAAGTGGGTAGGCTCTAACTTGCTCGACCCGTTGAGTTTGCGAAAAGTAGAAAAAAAGTCGTGAAAATGACTCCGTATACTCAGAGGAGACTTTGAGACAACGTCTCCCCTTGATAAAAAAAACAGGTACTCATAAATAATAACTACTTAAAAATGTATAGATATTTTTATTTTCATTGAAAATACTCGTATGTTAAAGCGTTTTCTATATTTATTACTATAAATTTAAAGCTATAAAATATAAAACCTATACATAGTAATTTCGATGGAAACACTATTTTAGTAATTTCGTCCGACAGGTTCAATCGTAACATGTAATGGTTTGGATTGTTTGACGGAAAGGGCCGGGGAGAATAATCCACGTACTACGTAAATACGTATATTACATATATACTACGCTGTTTTCAACTGGGTTCACGACAATAATTTCCGTGCCGTCATTAGTCAATCTACGAAATCGCGGTTAAAAAAAATTGCAGAATTAGTTTATAAAAAAATGTACCGTTTAATGAAGTTAAAATTAAAATATTCAATTAAGTATAGTTAATTTTTCAGTAAAAGAGTTCTTCTTGTTGGTAGTTTGGATATAGATTTTATGTTTAGATAATTTAAGTCTCTCCGAAATATTTAATACGAGCCGCTACTGCGTGTACTTCCGCCTATGCGAGGACGCTGCGTTTTTATTAGCCCCGGTGCGGTGTTAGTTCGTTTAATTACCACGCGTTCTAGCCAACGAGTCCGTTTTTCGTTTTCGGAACGGTTTCGCCGCTTCGAAAACGAATAGAGCCCGACGACGTGATTGACAACTGTTCACGGCGGAGCGAAAACGGATTTCTTTCGACGCTATTCTTCGTCGGGTAGGCAGCGGGTGAGTAATGCGTGCAGATAGCGCGGACATACACGGCCGCGTGTAGGAGAAGTCGTCGCGGTATAAATTTTGTACGGGTAATGTATGATGCCGGTCAGCATGTTTCGTCCCTTTTAAAATAGCGATGGGGAGGGAGGGGGGAAAGGGAGTGAAACGACATGCCCTGTTTAATGGTGAAATAATTTATGCGCTTGCACATAATACATACCGTACGATAGTGTACACATGCATATATGTATGAGTATATACGTATAACATCGCATCCCCTATGCGAACAACACCCGTTCTTTATTCGCACGTGTATATACATGCGTATGTGTGTAATAGAAATCCATTATTACATACATGTATAAGCGGGGCTTATTCTAAGGACTTTAACCTACTGCCCAAACACGCTGAAAAGTTTCATGGAATTTATTTGGATTACAATACTTACCGACTCCCCAGATAAATTGTACATTGATATTTTAGAATTTTGACTGTCGCGTGGTAAAAAATTAAAAAAAAAAAAAAAAAAAAATACGGGCCTTTTACCGCTGTTTAAATTTAAACCACATAGATTAATCACAATCGTGGGAGTAGCGAAGACCGTAAACTTACATAATTATCACTTGTTAGGTACTAGGTTGGGCTTGTAGATTGCACAGATTTCAAACGCTCTTAGTAGACGTCCGATCGTTCCACAAAGATAATTATACTCTTGTAAGGTGCCCATGTTCATTAAGTCCGCTTGACCTTTCGATTTTTCCTACTTATACGATTCGGGTCGTACCGCCCGTACAGAGTACAAGATCTGCCGTACAAGTATATACTTGCTCGTACGTTTACGCACCACACGGCGGGCAGTCAACGCGACGTCGGGATGGCGCAAGTACGGGTTTTATTGATCCCCTCGCGGCGTCGGCGATGCTGTGCGCGCGTACCTCGGGCAAACGTTTTCCGGCTTACACGCGCTGGTGCCGCGCGGCCGAGCGAACGTCCGACGTTTTCGGGGCCGCCAAACGTTTTCCGGTGCACGGGCTCGGCGTCCAAAGGACATCCCCAGCGGCTGCAGGTCAGAACGGGTGCGCGTCCGGACGGGAAACGGACCGCGTGCGACCAACGTGCGACCAGGTAATCGCGAACAACTTAAGGCCGTGCTACCCCATTGCAGCAACGCGACGCCGTGTGATTTCGCGTAAACATCGCGTGATAATCGTTTTTTTTTTTTTCTCCGTAGAAATAACGGAAAAAATATACATTAGGGATCGCAATAGCAACCGATCATGAACGACTAATGTTGTCCGGTCGGTCGACGAAAGTTCCCATTATCAATCGCTTCGTCGGCCACGTTCGTTTTATTTTGTATTTTTGTTCATAACTTTTACATAAATATTGATTTATAATAATCACGGCGAAAACCGATGACGAGTCCCGTCGTAACTATACGCCTAAATACCTTGATGATTGAAATTTAACATCATCTTGTGCCGCGACAACAGAAATGCGACAATCGACATTATTCTGTATACGAGAACGTACCCGATACCTTCGACGATGTAAGGCAATATAATCGTCATCTTCGGAAGACAACACTTTTGCAACTGAGCCATTCTAGTTGCTGCAACATCGGGTACGGTGTGCAGACCCATGACATGTCGTACGATATTTTTCCTAAGCAACTATTTTCGCATCGACGTCGCGTTTCCTTAGTGGGAGGATGGCCAAGGGTATTGCACGGCGGCAGGTTGATTTTTTTCCAAAAGCTACGCGCGGAACGGTACGAGAACGGGCTGTGCCGTGAAAACGATAGCGTTGGTCGACCGGGTTCCGTCGCCTCGCGAAAGTCGAAACGAAGTACGAGTAAAACTTCATTTCGATCCGTCGAGGGACGTACGTCGGATCTCGATAAGCGTTCTCGCTGCACATTCGCGTTTCTTTTTCTTTCTTTTTCCCGTGCACAACGATTTCAAACCCCTCCGATTATCCGATCAATGATGCCATCCGCGAGTTAGTTACCATTATCAATAGTCAATATTTGAACGGCGTTTATATCGATTTCGGTAAACGTTTTGGTTTTGGTATTTTTCAAATAAACAAAACACGTGCTCGCGATTAATGTGAACGGTAAGTGCTCGCACTTGTGTTCAATAAGCATTTAATTAACATGTTTACATTGTTACGCGCAAACAGCACTTTTTACGATAAAAAAATATATTCAACAACAAAATTACCTGTTTTTTATTTTATTTATTTTTTTTTAAAAAACGCTTTCCAGTCAATTACTTCAATATATATTGTGCACGTATAAAATACCGATAAAATATCATTCAAATAAAGGATCAGTGTATTATTTAATTTGTAGTTTTTAATTTTAATAAACATTTACAACCACGGTTTTAACGCTTTTTAATTGGTGTAATACATGAACGTCTTGTGTAATAAATTTTTCAAAACTCCTCAGCTGATTAAAATTAGATTTAAATTGAAAACGGAAGTTATTATGTAGCGTATTCAATTTTTAATTATTTACTGAACAATGTTTTTCTACTAAACACGAATATTGTAAATTATAAAAAAAATCTATTCATAAATATAAAACTTAAGGTTTAAAATTGTACACGCACTTGTGAACTTTTAAAATAGTTTTATACAAATATCATACAAAGTACACGATACTACCTCGTACGGAATCGGTTCCAATAATGATTATTAAATTTATCAAATGTTTTTGAAATTCATATCCAAAAAGTATTTTTATCCAAGTATGAATATATTTGCACTGATAAATCTTGAACATCGTTGTTTGATATTCACGATTAATGAATGTTACAAATTATTTTCGCCGTACAGAAATCATTTTTAATTAAAAATCTTTCGAAACAATAACAGTAATCGTTTTACTGACCACGTATAGTGGTATAATACATACGAATTAGGAGATACTCCGTCGAAATGCTTATATGGACACGCCCGTAACATCTTGCTATCAACCGGCATTATCGGCTAGTCGTTAAATCGGTGGTGAACTCGATGTGGAATCATTATTATAACACTACCTACCATATTAGGTTAGGTTAGGTTATGTTTTTAAATTGTTTAACATTATTCTTTCTTCTTTTTTTTTTCCATTCCGATTTTCAGCCAAGCTGTCCTGTAACATTTGAATACGATGCGTTCGGTCGCGTTAACAGTATGGTTTTTCTTGAACGTCGTAATGCTGGGCATGTGCGGATACATTTATCTGCTGTGGCTGCAGTATTGGCGCCAGATAAGCGTCAAGAACCATCATCCTCAGGAGTTGACCTACACGCAACAGCAGCCTTACGCCGAATATTACGACGAAGGCGATTACACCACCATCCATCCGAAAAACGGGAATCCGTTAATGCGCGTTAGTGAAACGCATTTAGATAAGACTGAAAAAATCAGGCAGGTAACACAATGTTGTATACACGTCCTACTATGGTTGTGTATAATATATTATGTATAAATAATATACAATATACTTACGTAACATGACTGTCGAATGGGCATTGGAAAAAATCGTATTATTTTAATATTTTTTCACGTTAGGTTAGGTTAGACGTGTATATGTATAGGACATCAATATAAAATCGTTGTATTGGTTGTTTTCTTTTTTACTTAAATTCAACCGGCAATACGATAACTATAGTGATCACCGGGGCTCGTAAGTTCATGCATTTGCATATCAATCATGCAAAGTTGTATTTAATGCTAGATGACATAGAAATCTATTTCAACGTACCCCGGTTAAATATGTGAAATCTTATTTTGCATGTTTTTGCATATTTGGCATGTTTTTGTATATTTGGCATATTTATGCATATTTCTATTTTATCGGACATATTATAAAACATTCTATTAGAATCTATCAAAAATCTAAATGGAAAATATATATAAAATTAAAAATAGGAATTGTATTATCTTTTATTTTCTTGCCTTCTTGATACTCGTACATTTAATGAATACATTTGTTTCAAAACTTTCAGATTTAAAATGAATTACTAACAAAGACGTACATTATACGCAGTTAATGAAGGCTCAAAAATAATAATTAAAATCTATTTTTTTATTAATTGTGACATAAAAAAATAAAATATAGCTATAAAAAAAATGAATGGATTATTCATGTTATTTCAAAAATTATTTCTGATTTTTTTAAGTACCCAAGCATTTTTTAAGTGCATAATTTTAGACATCCAGTGAAAAAGTTACTTGGACTTATATTCATGAACTTCAAAAATACGTCCAATAACAGTCAGGAGTTTCTAACAACATTTTTTCTGCACTTAATGGTTTAGGTTATTGAAATAATTCTAATACTGAACAAAAATGACAGATTTTTTACTTTCATAGAAAATATTATAAGTAAGAGTACTGACCCAAATTACGAATACTAATAATATCTATAAAATATATAAATACACATTTTTCTCAATAATTAAAAATTTTTATTTTAAATGTTATTTATGTTTCGAATTCCCTCGGTAACTCCAAGTTTTGATATGTCAATTTTTTTTTTTTTTGATCCCTTACGACTTCAAGATACCGAGGTTTCACCGTAGTTGGTACCGGTAATCCGTACGTCGAGTGGCAAACGTTCGTGTCCAACGTCGGAAGCAAGTCGCAACCAGAATTTGGTACACGATGTAATACGTGTCGTCCTGCATCCAGTCTTGAATCATCTCGTTCTCTACTTGTGCTCAAAGAAAACGTCCACCATACCTCCTTGCACGTCTTTTTTCCCGTTTCTGAACTCGAAATCTGAATTTCAGTGGCAGCAGCTGGAATCACGTGGTCCATTTTATTTTTCTGCTTTCCTACCACTTTTTCAAGCGTGTATAAGTTCGCACACGGATGTACACCCCAGAGGGAATATATGCGTACAACATTCGATACAACGTGAGCAACTGCCCTTAAGTCAGTGCTACAAACCATCGTGCAAATACGCTTAACCTCCTGGAAGTGCATTTAAATGCATATTTTTTAACTTTTTAAAGCATATTTCAAAGCAAATTTTGCCAATTTTTAATGCATACTTTTTCAGGCATTTTCTAGGGCACGAACTTCAAACCATGGTGATCACTAGAGCTCGGATTTATATGCATTTGCATGTCTGTACTAAATGTATGCACATCTATGGAGATTTAAAATGTCCACGATTCATATCACACCGAATTTAAACACCTAATTTTATATTGCATATTTTGCATATTTCGAGGATTATTGCATATTTGTTCATAAATGCATATAACATGTATATTTAATGGATTTTTAATAAATTAACTATTTTAATTTACAGTAAATTTTATAATCGCCTCGAATAGAGCACAAATAGATATGATAGGTATTAAGTTTCAAAAATATTATTTTAAAAGATTTGTATTTTTTTAAATTTTTTATTAGTTTTTGAGAGTAGGTAACTTCAAATGATATAAAATATCTATTTTTAGTTTTTTTTTTTTTATTGTTATTCTCGTTTTTAAGTTTCCTAAAAGTTTTAGATTGATTTAAATGATTTTAAATATAAAGCAGTGGGTATTATAAATTTTTTTTGTTTTTAATAAAATATTTAGAATTTTATAAAGTGTAACATAATGCATATAATCGCATATTTAGCCACTTTTTTTTTACATATTTGCATCATATTTGACACTTTTTAAATGCACATAAATCCGGGCTCTAATGATCACTAATACTTGACATAAATTCCGGACATTTAATGATTTCTTTTGTAAATAAGAAATATTTATTCCTATTAGGATTATTAGATTATTAATTTTAATATCAGTTCAATCTAATTATTGAGATGTGTAGCTTCCATTATATAGTTGTACGAAAACATATATATATATCGTAGGCTGACGGTGGTGACGTTAAATAATTGATTAAATCACAATTTAAAAGTATATTACAGTCTGCTTTGAAATCATTCATCAAAATCACATCGACCATTAATTAAGAAACATCACCAGTACAATTAATATTTTCGGAGTATAAATTAATAATCTATAATCGTATTTTATAAGTAATTAAGATTTTAAATTTAATAAAAGCTATAAATTGGTTTTACTGGGAAACGGTAATTATGTATACAGGTACTACACTCACCTAAATAAGTGTTGATCTGAGAGTTTATCGAATTATATGCAAGTAGTAATTTACTTTAGTACATTTTCAATTATAAATTACATTTTAACGTCGAACGTTTGAACTTCAATCTTAAATTTACGTACGAGTTTTAAATAGATTATAATACCTATGTAATTGAATAATTTAAATACGACATGAATTTATAAATGTTAAAGATTAAATCTTTACATCTCAAGTTTATCATTATAATTAATGGGTAATTAATTGAACAAAACGTTTAGCACAAAGACCTAACCGTACAATTAGTCCATAACAACTAACTGCAGTGGTTCTTAAAACACCTGACATACAACCTAATTAAAACAATTTGCCACAAATTATTATGACGGTTAGACGAACAACTCAATCTCGTTTAATGCATTTATTATTTTTTCTGTAATGAGTTATATAGTAAGGAGTTAAGATAAAACATTTATATAAAATATGCATTTTTCATAAGTATTACGAGTACTTGATCAGTATGACGTCATCTACAAGCTGTAAGCTTATAGGTTTCTTGGGAAATCGGATAATAAGGACAAACTAAAAAATATAAAAGACTAAGGTATCCCTGTATCTGCGGTAAATTACAAATATATGATGAACAAGAGTGATTTGAAGTACTAGCATTGATTTCAGAATATACAGATTATATGCCTATTGTTAAAATTGGTAGCACTTATATACACGCAGCCACTAGACGTCGCCATAACCGTTGCATTCAATTTGATAAATATCGGCTTTCAACAACAAAAAACTTTCTATTCTGTTTCTATAATTGGTAAAGTTTATTTATTAAAACATTATTATTGGTTGCTGTTTTTATTGTTAAAAACCAATTTTTATCATGTTGAATGCAAATAATCTCAGCGACGTTTAGTGGACACCGCGTTGACACTGTCAATCATAACAATTTGATGGCGTATCTGTATATTATATCCGTATCGTATATTCTAAAATCAATGGTACTATGTTTACAGACAGTATTAGGAATATTTAAGGCCTAAAACAAAAATCACCTTCAACAACTGAACATATGCGAGTATTTGTAGTTACTAATACATTTTAAACGCAAAAGCCTATGTACATATTATGTAAAAAAAATTAGTCACAAACAGGAATCAAATATGAGGGAAGCAGTAAAAATGTTAAAAACAACTATAATTTGTTAAATCGATACACGTTTAAGGAGTTTTGACCATTCCAAGTCCATAATTAAGGAACATTTAGTATATATGTATATATATATATATATATATATATATAGCAGTTACATTATTTTTAAAATTAATGTGCTATTAGTTATACCCATTTTTAAAAACATTAAATGACTTTATTAAAAATAATATATCTGTTTATGCATGCGTAAACATCGTTATGTAAACGAACCATTTTTTTCCCTCTAATTAATACTCGTCGAGTGTATATTAGGTATCAAATTTCCTCGTTGAAGAGAACGAAACACTATACTCGTATACTTATACTTTATTATAATATAATAGCGAAACCACTATACGGTAGCGACTACATCGTTATAATAAGTATTCTAAATATTATTATACGTACCTTGCAACGTATTTATTTAATGCGATGTCGCAGTTACAATATTCTATCAAATTATAATAACTCAAATCGTATATTATAATTTAATATTCTACCAGTATAATATATCGTACACCATCCAAAAGAATAGGTTGAATTCATACTCGACAGCCATATACTGTTGTATTAAAATATTACACAATGATTATTGAAAAAATCGCATGTATATTACAATACGATTATATGCCTACGATAAACGTAATATTAACATGTTTTATTTAATATTACGTACGCGATATGTATTTAATGTACTTATACGGACTTAATATACTTACCTGTTAAGTATTGTGTGCATATAAATATACTATACATATTTTTACCTCTTCGTGCAAAACGTGTCAAGTTTAGAAATTGCTATTTTGGAATTCATATTGCATAGTGCGTACAATGTACGAGGAAAATCTATACAATGTGCTGCTATAGTAAACTAAGCAACTAAGCCCGAATAGGTTTATACAGTAAAAAAATACATAAATATATTTATAAATAATTCAAATACCCCTCATACACTGCTTGCTAAATCTCACAAACGACAAACCGTCGTATAAACTTGTAATTTGACGTGATGGTTCCTCTAACACTCTAGATATGTAATAAGAATTACAAAAAATATAAAATGAGGATCTAACGAAAATGGCAGTTTTAAGGATCGACACAATATGAGTAGTATGTTGATTTTCATAATTACTTAAGATATGTGTAAATTAACAAAGGTATAATAAACAAATAAAAAAATCATATAATTAGAATGTACGAAAATCGTATGATTTTTCTACCTAAATTTTTTTTCGATTTAGGATTAGTAATTTTTTTTATAAAAAACAGTAAAATTTCTTCCATGTAGTCCGGATGTTTTAGGTTATTAGTTTTTAGGTTTATTAGTTTATTAGGTTTTAAGTATTGAAATTAAATTTAAATTTCCAAAAATAACATTTTTTTCAAAGGAATATTAAATTACATTTTTCTTAAAAATATCACGTACCTATATCCACTAAACAAGTTTAATGTTTAAAGTTTCAGTAAAAAATTATTTGCTTATGGACGTATTTTATGTGAACGACATATATACATTATGTATAAATAATATGGACGGTTCTCGGGTAAAAGGGGTTAAATTTAACGATTTTTTTTTTTATTGCATATTCGTGCTGATAATTATGATCCACATCGATTGACATTAACAAACAAAAATAATTTAGGTTAATAACCTCCGGGAAAAATAAGAATAATTCATCAACCATTGAACGAAAAGAATAAGTCAACATATTATTTTAAAGTTTTCAAATATTTACTCGTCATGACCTTTATTCATATAATATTATTAATATATTTAGTAAAAGGATGCAGATGAAAAAAATCTTGCGCAAATTAATAAATTAGTCATGTGTAATAGGGATCAATTAAAAAATAAATATTACTTAAAAGTATTAAGTCACTTATTGGACTTATTACAACTTTGAAGTTAATAAAATGTTCCGAATTCTACGAAATTCCCTGCTTGAAGAACTAATTGAAAAAGAAAAATATCGAAATCATCTATGAACCGTGGTTTGAACTTTCGAATATTGTTGACGAACTTTTTTTCTTTTTATCTTAAATACTGTTTTTCCATTTATTCCTTTACACCCATCATACCTCACAACGGATGATATCGTTCAGATGAACATGTGCGGAACTCATTTCACACATACGGGGGTGTCAAGGGGTGCTTAACACCCTTAAGTTCTAAATTAGTAATCCCAGATTGTTAAAATATGAAAAATAATTTAAGTCTCCGTAGAATGTTTACTACGAGCCTCTACTGTTTCGCAGGTTGTTCAATTTCAAGAACAAGATCATCGCCCGTCTGCGGCAGGTGGTCATGAAGGAGAACAGCAATTACGGGTCCGCCAAGGACGAGAACCCGTACAACGTGCCGTACCGACCGCAAGCGCCGAGCAACGTTAAGAGCGACTGGGTGTGCGACATGGCTTCAGCCGTGGAAGGGTTCAGGACGTTGGAGAGCGCAGACGTCGAGCACCGCGTTCTGGCCCAGAGCATACCGGACACGCCGCTGTTCGGCGACGACGAGGTGTTCGGCACGTGCGCGATCATATCCAACGCGGCCACCCTCCGTAATTCCAACCTCGGATACCTTATAGGTGTGAATCAAGTCAACGTTTTGGTCGCGCGTCCAATGGCGTATAAAGACTAACTAGCATCCCTGGAAAACTTGGAAAAAAACGCTTTTTAAACAATTAAAATTTGATGTTATGATATTTTTTCAACCTTTAATTTTACTATTTTTTTTTTTTTTTTACTATACAATTTATATTTCTACGTTATTATTACAGTGTTAATTTTAAACTTCGAAAATTTGATTTTCTCATTTTATGGCTGGCGGCAAATTCATCGATAATTCCTTCATATCAAATTGCCCTTATGTTATTTTCATAATTTCATTAAATTCACACGTAGAGTATACAAATAGACAACATCTACGTATTTCAAAAAGTATAAGGGAAAAATTTCAATTGCAGTTTAAAAATACGACTTTTGCACAATTTTGCACCCCTTTGCAATTCGCACCGCTGACGTAGGCACAGTTCACCATACCCTTACTACACCACTGCGCACGTCACTTGAACGTTTACGGCTGATTACGGCAGGACCCGATCAGGGGCGTTTTCAAGCATCGGGCAAAATTACTATGTGCATCCCTATAGATTTATCGTATATCGTTGAAATATTACGTTTATTTTATACAATGAAAGTTGTTCAAAAAAATAAAATAATAAACACATTAAGGCGAAAATCCGAGGCCCCTCATAACAGAGACTATAGTTGTCTATCCTGCCTAATGGTAAATTGTATGACCCTGACGAACTGTATGTATACGAGAAAAATTTCAAAAACAACCATCTCGAAACGTTTCTGGACTTAGGCCCTATGAAGGCACGGGCCTCAAGAGATGTGACATGGTAGCGAGTTGTGCACTTTTAATCATATTTTTTTTTTTTTTAAAAATTACAAAATAAAAATTTTTCCTTTGACGATTTGTACATTACACTATTTTCCCTGTGGATTTGCAATATAAAATCGAAATAAACACAACGGCTACTATTCGTAATAATTTCGATGAAAATTATGGTCGAATATAAATTAAAATCCGATCGTTTACTATCCGTATAATGTTTTCAAAAACCTACCTATACTTAAGTATAGTTAATCAACAAATATTTTCGTAATCATGCTAATCCATGACTTGAGTACAATCCTAATCGATGATTTCTCATTCTCCCGCGGTAAAACGTGGTATTCGTCAATGCATCAATTTGATAATACTGAAACAAATTCGTTGTCGACTTTAAGTTGTATTGTTTTGATTGCATTTCGTTGATGAATTAGCCGAGGAAAAAGTTCAAAGAAAAAATGTATAAGTTTGATTAATTTGTAAATATTACCAAAAAAAGATTTTAAGTGTTATTCAGTTTTCATTAACGATGTACCAATTTTAAGAAAAGATAATAATTTAAATTGAACGTACTTGTGTAATTTTGTACTAATAACTATAGAAAGGATTGGGTGCAACATGAAATAGGCGACGGATTAGGAAGTGTCTCTTGGTGGAGACAATACGCTTATGTCTATCATTATTACGGAATTATTACTGAATCACATCCGTATCTGTGATGAAAAATAATTGTTATAAATATAGATGTTTATAATTTCACGTGGAAGTGAACAAATAACACTCGACAACAATTTAATTGACAATTGTTTCTACTTTATTCAACAAACATACTCGTATTACATCCTATCTTTATATTTCTACAACAAAAGTGATGTGCAAAATATGTAATTTTGTTTGACAGGTTATTGACATATCAAATAAAAAAAACCCCATTAATTATTTATATGTAATCCATGCACACAATATAAATAATAATTGTATCATAAATCTATGTACCGAGTTATTATTCTGATTACATTTAAATGGTTGACATCGTTAGACTACAATAAAATACTAACTGATTCATTTAAAAATGTTTCAATCGTTAAAACATAAAGACCTTGATTCACAAATGAAACCCAAGGAAGAACGCAGACATTTTTTTTTACATTTTTGTTTGATTTTTTTTTCTATTCTAATCTTGGTAATTATTTGAATATAAAATAAATATCATATACATTGATTTTTAAACATCAATATAAAAATACGAGTATATAATAACACAAAACAAATAAAAATACATAACAATACTAAAAAAGTCGCCAAATATTTTGTATAATAAGTGTAATGGAACTACAACGTAACTTTTTTAATTTTATAATAATATTAAATGTTAAATGAGTTTGTGAAATGATTGATTTTAAAATTTTAGATCAACACGATTTGGTGTTACGGTTCAATAACGCTCCAACAAAAGGATACGAAAAGGACGTCGGGTCGAAGACAACAATACGTATTTTGAATTCTCAAGTCGTTACCAAACCACAATTTCAGTTTTTGTCATCGCCATTGTACAAGCGGCTCAAACTTTTGATGTGGGATCCTTCGAATTATACGTCATCCGTTAACGAAGTAAAAATAAGCAGTAAAATTACTATAGAGATTAAAACTTTTAAAAAATACTTTCCCGTAAAACTGTTAACACAATTATATATTCTGTTTGTTTTTCAGTGGATCAAGAACCCCGAACACAACTTTAAAAAGAACTACATATCGTTCAGAGAAGCCAATCCTAGGTCAAACTTTCATATCGTTCATCCGCAATACCTGTGGCGCTTATGGGATTACATACAAGATCACACCACCGCTCATATCAGACGGAATCCACCGTCGTCCGGGTTTTTAGGTGAAAATATATTAAAACAACCAGTATATTACTTGCACTGCAATATATTTGAAAGCGTATTAAACAATAGTGGTAAAAAAAAAACTTTCTATTTTCTCATTTTATTTTTTATTCATCTTTCATTTCAATGTGTTTTCCTCGTTTGTGGTTAGTGTAGCGATGTACCTAATTCGCAAATAGTTATTTATTCCTTTTATAATTAGCGTTCTGTATCACGGCACAACCTCACTGAGAACTAACCAGTATTACAGTACAATGGGATGGTTATTTCCTGCACGCCTATTAGTATCAACGACCAAGAGCTGTAGATATATTTCCAGCTATTACTCGATCAGTACTCTCCGGTCCGTGAACTTAACTTCGATATCGTAAAACCATAATCTACAATGTAGATTAACCGAACGAGACAAGAGTAGATTATGTCATAATCTACTCTTGTCTCGTTCGGCGACATTCATTGTTAATCGATCAAACCGTTCGTAGATATACTTGTACGTACGTAGTTATTGTTAATGACGTATCTGCAGTGATATCGTAGACATATTTCAAGTAATGATGAGCAGTAGGAGTATATCGTACACATTTTGTGTACACCGTATCGATTGACAAGTGTATACATTTAGACGTTGTGCAAAATAAAAAGGCTTTCGTTAACACAACTATCAACATCATTGTACACAAAACTTTGCAGTAGTATGCACAACCTCGTAAATTGAATACCGTACACACGACCAAGTAAATATGTATTATGCGTGTAGTGAACACGGGCGTGCAACGTAAATATCATAAATTACGGTGTGTGTGCCCGGCCTGTACCTATACTGCAGTACTATAGCGAAGATTGTATTTTTGATTTTCACACAGGACTGGCAATGCTATTGCCGCGGTGTTCGGTCGTTAATATGTTCGAATTCATACCGTCGGAAAGGATGACACACCGTTGTCATTACTATCACGAAAAAGTCGACGTGACGTGCACATTTGGAATTTGGCATCCGTTAGCTGCCGAAAAACTGCTAATGCTTGCGGCGAACACCATGACCGATCAGACGGTGTTCCACACAGGGTTTCTTTCCATCCCCGGTTATAAATCTCCGCTATGCGCTTTATAGTACAAACAATAAAACGTTGATACATTGTCAATGTAATTTGGTCGACACAATTTTTCATCATCACGTTACACAATACGGTTGGGTGTTTTTTTTTTTATTATTATTATTATATAAAAATATCCAATCAACCGAGGTTACGAATACGCGTACGTATCATCCACGTGCATTTATATGGTGCAGTAGAATATAACGAAAAAATATGAAATACTACAATATTAGACTGCACGACCGCGTTTGTTACAGCATTGTTAACTGTACGGAACTTTTTGTCGAATACAATTTCGTTGACCGTAACACATAGCGTTAAGCGTTAGGTATTTAATGTATTATTATAAATCCTGATGATGTAACTTTTTTGATATAAGAGAAAAAAAAAGAAAGTTTCAATAGATTTATATTATATTACTATGACTATTGACGTGAATATAAAAAAAAAAAAAAAAATTACGACATTTTATATACTTCTTCATGCAACATCGATTATTCGACCTATAGGGCTTGTAACATTTAAATGTAGTCCGTGCCTACCTATAATGTAATAATCCAAAACAATTACTTGAGATTATTCCGCTGATTATGTCACTCGAATACCTTACTGATTTCGTACAAGAACGTCCAGATATATCCAACACGTGATGGAAAAATTTTTTATTCTGCTACAATCGGCGCAAAATGGTGGTCTGCCATAATTATGTCAAAACATTAATGTTTTAAACATAATACTTATACGGTATACATGCATTCATTACATAACAATCTTTAATATGTTATCCATTTAATTTTAAAAATATATTTCAACCGTTCATAATATCACTTCAAGCCTATAAACGAAGTATCAAAATATTTGTTCCATAAAATGTATCATATATTATTATTTTTTACTATTTATTATCACTATTATCATACAAATATAAACCTAAATATAATTTATGACTTAAAATGAACTAGTCAATGTGATAAAATCATTTAAATGTATTAGAAAAAAAATGCTTGACTAACGAACTATTTGTATTTTATTTAGAGTAAAATTAATTTTATCAAAACAGCTTTATTTTAAATTTTACAATTATTATATTTTTTTTTTTTTTTTAGTAAAAAGCTCCTATTAATAATAATTTATTATTATATGTATTTAAAAATAAAAATAGAAGTTTAAATGTAATAAGTATGTAGAATAAGTATTGAATGTACTGGAGTATTAAACTTCACTCTGAAATAAGTAAGGATACTAAGTAATTACTGTAAAGCCTATTGATAATCAATTCGCTTATACCTATATCGTTACCATTTGTAACGCAATAAATTTTACTAGATTTCAAATAAATGTACACATTTTGATTTTAATATGTTTTGATAAAATTAATTTGGAATTGTGATCATCCGTCTATATTTAGCCGGTCTTAAACAAGTCCCGTTACTTCTTGAATCCCGACTGAGACGCCTAAAAAAACAAAATACCGGTTTCTTAAAATTAATATACCCATCTAAACAATACGTAGTCAAAAAAGTACGAACAAGATACACTGAGATAGGGCGTTGAACATGTTTTGTCTCATTAGTCATTTTGTTCATTTCGACTACGTAAGTTAGCGGTGTATTTTTTTAATTTTTTTTATTATTTAAAAGCCATACGATAAATAAACTGTGTCAGGATAACTATCCCAAACGAACACTGTTCAGTGACTAATAGTAAAAATAATTATTATAATAACAATAATACTCACTGTACGTTTTAAAATTTTTAATTGCTAATTATACTCGTAAATAATTTTAGGTTTAGAGTTCCGAACCTTATGTATTGAATATGTAATAGATAGTATAAACGTGAAATTAATATGCGATCAACTCTATCTGTGCATAATAATATAAAACTATTTTCTAGATATTTTAATTAGTCTTAAACATATTATCTATATAAAATGTAATCCAAGTAATATCATGCACAAAGAATTATAGTAGTAAAAAAAAAATTATAGTGTTGCTCCATAGATTTCATATTTTTATTACCTTAAAACGTTATGTATTTATATGTTTTGTAATACGAGTACAATATAATGATAGCTATAACTAATTCACTTATTTAATTTATTTTCTATTCCGTAAAATGTAAATGTAATTATATTTATATATATATGTGTACATTTATGTATACGTGTATGTGTCTGTTGTATCGAAGGTAAAATACCATGTAATATTAGTTAATATTAGTATTATGATAGTATTGTGTTACGAAGAATTGCACCTCGAGACCCGATCGATAGGAAAAATAACAAACATCGTATTTTGCTATTCATTTCAAACTACTATACATAGTATGATATGTCGTTCTTTTTCCATGCTCCACGTATAAGTGAGAAAACCGAAACTTATGTTCACAATGTACTGGAACATTACATCCGAACGTGTATAGAAAATGCGCAGTTTCGTTGAATGGACAATGTAAACGTCCTATACAGTTTCGTGAGTGGAATGGTATAGTACACGACTTTAAAGGTTGAGATGTTAAACAAATAATACGATTTTCGCCTTCGGAGTTATTTCAACAAATCTGAGTTTGGAAAACTATCCATTTGGAAGACCCAAAACAAGTTGGAAGTACGAGTACTTAGTTCAAAAATATGTGCAATCACTGGGTGGAGGAACGAATTGGAAAGAAAGAGCAACGGACAGAGAAGAATGGAGGAGTGGGTGTGAGATGATCTTGAAAGGGCTTTTTCACCATAGATAGATAAATAGACTAGATAATACAAAATATTACTACTATATAATAATACTAACACCAACACATTACTTTTTTTTTATTAAAAAAAAAACCTTTTTTTATATTACTATATACTATATACCAAATACCTATGTTTATATAATTATATAAGCAGATGATACTAAACAGATGATACTCAATTGTCAAACGGTAATACGGAATATCTTATATTTACCAAATGTCGCTATTAGTATTCTGCTAATGCTTTTATGTTGGCCAAAATAGCCAGATAACAATTGATGTTTTTGGCATATTTAAAATTTATAGGTACCCAATTATTAATAAAAAAAATATTATGTGCATGCGTATACCATAAATTATTATACTAATGATAGTGAGTGTAAACCATAAAATAATGATAAGCGATAATGTCATATTTTACATTAATCTTGGGATATAAATTATTTGAAATTATTGTAAACGAGTACCTAGACGTAGTAAACCTAATGAAAACCACTTGGCACACTACAAAGCTACAAGACGGAAAACGCGTTGTACTGTAGTTATACAGTCTTATACTCGAATAAGATAAATTGCCGGTGTCTCGATAAGTATTTATGTTTTATTCTATTTCGATTTAAATATTATTGGATAATACGCGATATATAAACATAAGTTTAATATTTTACGGTTTGTACGCTGTATTATTGAAACTACATGTTTTGGGTTCAATTATTATTTTATGTAATATAAATTGTATTAAAAGAAATAATACAAATTTACTGAAACTGCATTTATATGCAAAGAAAATCATTAATATGCTATTCTTAAAAATGTTTCCTAAATATGCAAAAAATAAACTACAAATATGAATTCATTAGGTTATAGAGCAGATTTTTAACTCACCTAGCTATAAATAGTAAGCATGGACAACATTTTTTATCGCTTCTCGTCCCTAGTTATTACGCATCGCGTTAAAATTACACAGACTATTTATTGTAGAAACAAAACAGAGACATCAATTGATTATTTATATCTTTGTTATCCCTATATATATACAACATTGATGGTTTTTATGTGAACACATTATTTAGATGATGTGTATCATCTTCAGAAGTTTTCCATTGAAACTTATCTCAGTTGTTTGTATACACCAGACAATTATTATATACATAAAAGCTTTATTATGTTACATCGTTTGATTTCCATTGACTTTACATTCATTAATATCTGAATATTGTTCGTTATTTAATGGACATTGCAAAATAAGTTAAAAAAGAACAACACGCAACAATATATACTACGGACTGCATTATACCAATAATTTTATTCTCGGTGGAATTTATAAACGTATAAAAATATGAATAAACATTGTCCGAAAACGTAATGGTCAGTTGATAAATAGGCTAATGCAGCACTAAGCTTATGTAATCGATAGACAGTATAAAAACTTTAAGGGTTTACAGTTGTTTATATACAACGGATTTTCAACGATCCTCTAAAATCACAATATTAATGTAGGTAGGTACCATTTCATTAAGTATTAGTTAGGCATTTTTTAATGGTACATTGGTTCGTTCACAGAACGTTTATTTACTATGTATGTACATAGTCGAATGTGTGTAAAAACCCATTGAAACATACGGTCTTACGACTACGAACACATCAAGAATAATAGTAAAAAAAAAAAATAAAAAAAGAGTTGGTAGCGTTAATTTAATACTTTAACGATACCTACGCTAAAATGGTACTTAACGGTACATTGTATTATATAATTCAGCAGACGAAACGCCCTGCAGCAGCCTTCGACAGTCGAATTCGTTATCGCGTAACGCAATACGTGACGTTATAAGAAATCACGATTTAAAAAGTTTTTCAATAATAATTGTTCGTCGTAAACACAACAAAGTACATAGTACGTTTTAGGAAACGTGCGTTTGATGATTACAACCATAGCACTACTGTGCGCCAAGTGTGTTTAACTCCGAACGAGTACGTACAACAATAATAGAATAATAGTGTTGGTAAAGAAAAAAAAAAACAAAAATATGTTGTCTAAATAAATAATCGTGACGCATTTTTTTTTTTCTTTCCGCTACATCTCTAACGTTACGCGATTGTTTCGGCCGTACGAAACCGTCTTCCACGGGTTAGGTATATTATCGCGTCACTACCACGCGACTCGTGCTCGGAGCCAAAACCGAAACCGACACGCGGAACGCAATGATACGCGCGTGTGATACACACATCGTGTTACATTTCGTTCGACGCATGATTTAACGCGAACCGAGTACGATGCGTACGGCGGACCCGTAGAGTCGCAACCGCAGGGCCGGTTATGACCTTAACACACGAGGGGCCTGTTACTTTTAGCGAAGCCCTTTTACGAAAAAACCATTCCATTTATATTTTTCGGATTTTGTTTTATTTGTGATAAACGGAGCTCGGATGTTTAAGACTTGGCATATTTTTTATTATTTCATATGTATAGGAATCATGTCCAAACATTTTTTAAAGTAGATAAACGAAAGACATCAAGACAGATGAGAGCACTTTTTAAATTATCTAGTGTATAAATCAAAAAAAATATCATGCGGCCCCGACGAACATTATGGATTTAGCTGAACCCTTAGATGATTTTTTTGTCCGAAGAAGATATGAAAAATGAGAAAGCAAAATTTATAAAATTATTTACCCTGTCATTAACTGCCAAAAAAAAACATTAGAATATGTATATTTATTTAAAATAATTATCAACAGGTTATCTGCTAAACAATAAATTCCATATTTTTTTTCGTATATTACACATTTTATCTTTGTAAATGTATAACAAACACTTACAAAAATATATCAATAGATCCTCATTGTCTTTTCGACTGTCGTCTTTTCCCTTGCCCTCAAACACATCACTAGCAATTTTTTTATTTTAAAAATAATAATTTGTCAAACTAATAATTATGTATAAATAACGAATATTGTTGTTATCTAACAAAAAACTTTTTACAACAATATTAAAGAAATATAATACAATATAATGTAACATTAAGGTTAGTAAAAAATTAAATATAAAAATTTAGATTTTAAACTCTACGGAAATCATATACCATAATTGTATTTATTTTATTTATAAAAAATATGTTTCTAATGGTGTTTATAAAATGTTATCGTTTTAACATGTTTTTTCCTACATATTTTTCA